TTTTTTTTTTTTTTAAAAGAACAGGGGACTACTTCCAATGGCACTAAGTAACACGATTGAGTATATAATTCCGACGATGATTTTTTTTTATATTGTTTCCATTTTGATAACTATATTCACACACTGTTTTCGATTTTCACTAACACTATGATTTTCTACAAAAAGTAGTCTGAAAGTCACCGAATTTAAATGTTTCGCAATGTTAAGACTGGAAATAGAAATGAGATTAATATAACGAAATGTTTATCATTTATATTCAAAAACGTAACACTGCATTTCACCCTACAAAACTTACGAAACTTACCACTCGATAACCTCGTGGGTCAGTCAGGCAAGATAGTTTCCCTGGAAGAATAACATGTATACATAAAAATCTGTTTCGGTACTTTTGAGACTTACCTCACCTTCGTGATGCTAGATGTTAGCAACATTCAACGGTTAATAATGTATCAAAAATATATTTAATCTGCACCTGCATCCTAAAAATTGTATTTTCACACGTAACTTCTAAAACTTTCTGCCATTTACAATGAATGTTTGGACACCACAGCATGAACAAAATTTGAATTACACCAAGGAGATAATTCTGTTGTCCCTAGTTTCCAATATTCATCGAAATGGTTACATAAGTCCCTCCACTAACATTTCTCAAGGAGTAATAAAAACACGAATGTGTGATCATTTACGATGGAAATTGTATAGCAAACCATTGCACACGATCTCATGCGTTATAAAATAAGACCCTATCTAACATCACTAATGCTATAAGAAAAAAAGATACAACGTCCTTCAAATGTTAAGAAACAAATTTGGCAACCACACAGCGAAGATCGACGATGATTATTAGAAAGATATCATATGCATGATAACGGGCAATAAATGTTTCGTTGGCGACTGCAGCAAAGACCAGACTATAAAAAATTTGCCACCACTTACCATGGAAATTACTCTTACTACAAAAAGGGTTTATTTCTTATATCACAACAATTCACTTAGAACGTAATAAAGTTGCGCAATTTTTCAGACCAGACATCATTATCAGTGAATGTGGAAGATACACTCTCAATGCTATAATAAATAAGAATCAACCACAATGTTAGAGACGAAATGCAGCATTATCATCCAGTCTCAACTTCCCCCGAAAACCTTTTAAGACACTATTTCAATCTGCAGTAAAACCGTGTTAACAATCTTCCGAGAAAAGAGTACCACGTATAACTTGATGATCCGAGTATCGTTTTAACGATGTACCAGTACAACAGGTTCAAATTTTTGATAATGGATTTCAAGCAAATTATTCCTTCTTGAAACACATTCAGCATAGAGGAATAGCAAACCACAATCACCTGAAACGTATCTCACCTGCGATATAAACAAATATTCATTATAAGGATCGTGGAGCTTCAGTATCTCAAAAGTAAATAGGGATATCTACATCTAAAGAGACATTGTAAAATCTTTAAGCAGAAATTTCTGTTTAAAGTGCAATGCAGTTGGAATTCTCATTCTGTGTAAATATATTGCACACGTGAGTTGCAGAAACGATATCTCCTTGCCAATGCATATCCACAGCTTGACCTGCTTAAAGTATAAAGAATCACAACAACACAGAAATAAAACAACGACCAGTATGTTTTTTTTTTTGTAGTCAAAACGGATTTGGATTTTATTCAATCACTGTCATGATGTTGTGGTTATACAAGAGTGTTATACAATTCGCAGAATGTTCCTCGAGATCTATATGGCGAGAGAAAAATATGTTTACCAAAAGATATATTTATAAAATTAGCTGGAAAGCCTCTGTTTATGTTCATTTCATTCAACACCGAAATATATTAAAAATTGTTTGTCCTCTGGATAAACGATTCATATTTTTTGGTAAACATACTACGATACGTACGACAATTCTGCCAAATTTTGAGTACAAAGTCATCCAATGCTTGTTCGCCGAATTCTCAAAGCGAGTGAACTAGAAGGGACCATCCTAATGACAACTAAAATTTTTATACACTACTTGAATCTCCAAGTTACTAGAACGATGTGGCGCGACGAGTAAAAGATCAGACCGCAGAACTACAATGGAAACAATACACAGTCCCCTGTTGAGCCATGATGTATCTTGTTATGTATTAGATACAAGAATAGAGTGCGACCGATACCACAGAATAACCGACACACGTCCACGATCTGTGTAGGATTGTGCATGAAAGTATCTATCATACATGGATAAACTTTAACTTGTAAAGCCCGTAATAGCTATTATCGCGTTAGTATTTATGCTTGAAAGATTAATCCGTCCCTGATCGATTAACCAGTCCACGAACGTCCAGAACGTCACGTTCGACCGGAATATGGGAAAACTGATTGATCTCTCATGAAAACTAAGAAATAAACTTACAAGCTACGTTTGATAATTACCGTAAATAGCATACTCCTACATACTGAAAAAACCTACAAATTACGTTGAACATTATGAACCTAAACCTAACAATTAAACTATGTATGAATCACTCGAAAAAACTGATTTTGGGAGTAGACTTCCATTGTAAAAAGGAACGATAATCTGGTAAAGAATTTTAAGTGAAACAGTCGTAGCAAGGAAGGGTGATCACCGGCAGCCAATGAGTGTTTCGACGTTGAAGTAGGCATTAAAACACGATTGTTGATCTTCCAACGACAGATACTTCTCACCCACTGTCCTAAGTTCTGCCACACAACAAGGATGAATTTCAAGTATTGTCATCAGGAGTGGAACAATCCTGCAGACGACATACGAACACCCAGTCTCCTCTCGCTGCATCAATAAGTTATGGTTAAGCACGAACCTCTGCAGAGGCTCTCTATTAGTGTTACCTTGAATGTGTTCTCCAACTTTTAGTAAAGGCGAACATCGATCGTTCTGCCGTCGATACGCGATCGATTCATCATAGCTACACATTATTTAAGGAAAATCTTTCGGATATTACACTCCGTTTAGAATGCGTCTTGGCATAACATAGAAACCGTTAGTATCATGTAATATTCAACATATACATTTTTTAAAATATGTTTGGATATGTTGCATATTACATAATCTCAAAGATTTTATTTAAAAATATGTATTTGTAAAAGGATACACACAGCACGCTCAGCATCCCATTCAGATGCGAATCGAACCATTCCCATGTCGGAGCTCCTCATTTCAGCAAACTTCACCTCTCCAACATCTTGAAATTTATCACGTAACATTTGCCACGTTGTGTTTAGTGGTAGCTGTAAGAATAATGCATATTTATACAAAAACAGTTTCGATAGTTTTTAAATGGAGTTCCTGGATAACTCATTTAAGTGTTTTAAAAAATTCTATTTGAAGGATGAATTCATTGACTTATAAGTTAACATCAGTTAACCCTTTGAATGAGTAGTTTGCTTCAACGAATTTTATAGCGAGAGGGGAATGAAACGTATATATATCTAACTACCACCTCATGAAGAGGGCTAATAGTTTTACAGAAACATTAAAATACAAATAAAGTTTATGTGTAAGAGAAAAAAATATAACGTACGTTTCCTATAAGAACAGTATCCGACATAGGTCGCGAACCATTCGTATTTTGCCTGTTACCGCCTCCTCCTTGACCTTGATTTCCACCAAAACCACCACCACCGCCGGGACCGCGATCGTTGTCTCCTCTGTTGAATCCAGTGTCGAAATCTCTGCCGCCACCGAAGTTAGAACCACCAAAAGCATTGTTTCCCCCGAAGCCTACATCATTGTCCATTTTAGATAAGCCTCGCGGCGCGAACGAGTTGTTGCCTTGTCCAGCAGATAAAGAGGCCTGTAAATTAGACAAACCTCCGACTCCACCGCCAAAATTACTTAAATTAGAAGCCAATTCATTTGTCAAAGATGAATTCAGTAGAGAACTGGTGGTCAAGTTTGCACTTAAACCTCCAGCAAGGCTTGCTTGAAGAGCTGCTGCATTTGAGTTTGTCAAAGCGGATGCTGTAAATACACAAATATTTACCCATTATTTCTTCAGAATGCGATTTATTATAATCATTATATCTATGACGAGTTTCAAAACTTACCTAATTGTGCAGGCACAACGTTGTTTAAGCCAGCACCAAAGGCACCAGCAGCCAACACAGGAGCAGAAATAGGATTTACAACAGGTGGATTGTTTGCTTGAACATTAGGAATATTTCTAGCTACATCCATTAATCTATTACCACCAGCGCCGAGTCCCATTCCGATTCCCTTCAAACCTATTTTACAATTATTATTTACATCTGTTTTGCAGAGTAATAAGTAACGTGGTTTGTAATAATCCATACCTTCTGGTAATTTTGGCGGCATATCTGGTTCGTTTGCTCTGTCTAGTCGAACGGTCATACGTCTATCAAAAAGTTGCTGATTGTGAAGCATGGATATAGCCTGCACTGATTCTACCGGATGATCATATTCTACAACTCCAAATCCTCGAGATTTTCCGTCTTTATCCTTTCCTAACTCAACGTGCAGTACTTTACCAGCTAATTTAAATACTTCTAATAACTTCTTCTCATCCACTTTATAATCAAGCTAAACATACAAAGTACAATAGTCAGCTCGTTTTTATGTCGTGGTACAATATAAACATATCTCTTATATTAAGGTACACTTACATTTGCCACAAAGACTCTAGTAACTAACGGTCCGTTAATACCCAAAGATTCTAAAAACTGAGTACTCAGACCATAGGTATTTCCAAACTTATTATCACCGCCGCCGCCGCCGCCGCCGCCACCGCCACCACCACCACCACCACCGCCACCGCCTCCGCCGCCGCCACCACCGCCGCCTCCACTAGGAGCATTCATATTTTGTCTACCACCCCCCTGTGGTCTGGGTGGATCTCTAAATCTATCATCACGAATTCTATCATTATTACGAGCCGTCGCTAAACGACCATATTTATCACGTTCAATGTCAAAATCCTAAAATAAATAAGTGTTATAAAATGTATTCTTTAATAGTGAATGTATTACTAATTTAACCCTTGGAGGACAAAACATTTCCTTATATGAACGCTTACTTCAGTAGATGTTCACAATTGTATTTGTCACAGCAGCATAGAAGAGATGATTTTAAATATGTAATGCTCTAATAATGAAAAGTTTCAAGTTTAAAATTATGGAGTACCAGTTTAACAACAACAAACATTTCCAACATCTGTTTCTGTTTGCATTTAAGCAAACCATAAACTGCTTTCAAGTTGTTCTCTCCATGATAGAGCCTTCTCTGTATAGGGTACAATACTTCTGGCAGCTTGGATAACATTTAAGCCTTGATAAATAAGAGCGGATGTCGGAAGTGCTCATTTTTGTTAATCCTAGGACTGCATAATCTCGAACCTAAAATTTGTCATCATTAGATTAAAACAATGAAAGCAAACAAACATCAAAAGCAATATTAAAAATGAGAATGTGCTAGCGAATGATGCATAACACATGACTAAGAAAGTATTCTTTTTAGGATGAAATTTTATTTAAAATAAAAGAGCACGAGCTTATGCATCAACCCAATATATAAAACTAAATTTCTGTAGTTATGAGACTATTTGACATGCGAATGCAAATAGGTCATTTAGACTGAACTTTACATTTACAAACTTTCTCAAAGAATATTGGAGCATTTAATGCTCTAATGAGCATTTCTATTATAGGAACATCTATAAAGTACAAAATATTAACTCATAAAGCATTCTATACAAAATGTAATCTAACTGCGAACATCCACTTTCTCTTAAATAGTCCATCCTCTAAGGGTCTTATTTATAACAAGTTTTTTAAAAGAATAATATACTAACTACCTCTTTTACCACAAGCTTCCTCCCTTTAATATCGTATCGATGCATTTTCTCTACAGCAACTTTCACAGAGTCTGAATCTTCGAATTCAACGATACCACAGCCTCTTGGTTTGTCATTTTCATCAGTGAAAAGTTCCACGTGTGCTACCTTTCCTACCTCTGTCCGGAAGAGATCTTTAAGATCTTGCCATCGAAAATCATAGGGAATGTTTGATACATAAATACGGCGATCTGATGCTTTTCTGCCACCACGATCGTTACGTTCTCTGCTCCGATCACGGCTAGTGGAGTTTATGCGAGTTTGCCTATCCGATCTCCGATTACGATCACGTTCCCTACTTCTGTCCCTCTCGTCGTTATTTTGTACTTGACTCCTAATGTTAACATGTTCATTGATAAGACCACGCGAAGACAGCGTATACGAGAAAATGTTTACAATGATTACTACGGATTACGCTAACGAAACACGGCACTAATTTTTCGTCTCATAACCTATACGAATTTCGACAAGTACCACACGATCGAGAAATTCTTCTCAAAATTCATGCTAGCAACATAATGAAACGATTAGCGTCGGTGAACGTTAATTGTACGCGATTCCGCATGCCGACAACGATAAAGAAACGCTCGACAAACGTTTGTCAATACTAATTTTGTACTTACTCCTCGGGCTTGATCATCGTTGAGGCTTCTTTCACTGGACAAACGATTGAAACTAGTCGGAGAATTTACTCCGCAGTTTGCAGTTAAAAAGAATAAAAGACACCGTACATGCAAACATACGCGATCACGAAGCGTCTTATAAAATGGCCGTTCACGGAAATGGTGGAACGTACCGGAAACTGCTATATTCAAAAATAAGTTTCACACGAAAGAAAAAATATAAATAAAGATTTGAATATCGTTCTAGTACGGGGCTTTAATATTCACAAGATTGTTACCGCGTTGCTACGTAACTGTGATATAAGCATCCATACGTATTCTTTTTCAGTCCGGAATGGTTTACGTTCTGAAGTTGTTGGAGTATCGAATATAATGCAGCATTTTCGAAGGGGGTCTAGTGACTTTGAAAGATGTGAAAAGCTTCATGAGAATAGAAAAATGACCGATCAAAACTTACGTAGTGGAATTCTGATTTTCACTATACTTAGGTACACGTGTATTGATGTGTATACATACCCATTCATTAATTATTGCCGCCAACTTGAATTAGAATGAAAAACTGTCCAAAACGCGTCTCCTCGACAAGTTTATAATTGACGCACGGTTGAAACACTTAATTGCATTATTTAAGCTTCGTAATAGTTATTAATTAGGTCTCATTCAGGTCTTATTCATACTTCGGTGTAATCTGGATTCCTTTTTGCAACGCGGAACAAAATGAATGATATACTATTCTCAATCATTGGGATATCGGAGATTCAGGACAATGTATTTTATTGTCACAATAGATTATATATATTTTCAAAATAAATGTTTTTATCTAATCGAATATCAAATTATTTTCTATTATATTATTTTAATATTCTATTATAATTTTCTCTTTTATTCTATATCGAATTATATACACAATTAACAGGCTTGCAGAATAATTAGAATACTTACGATGACAATACCACCATCGAGATGTTTACTTTAACACATTTTATTATAGAAGGCTTCATCGCACGTGTAAACTTCTCGAGGTAACAAAGCGTACTGAGAACTGTGTGTAGGGTGTAAGGTTCGGCGGTCACATTTATCGCGGCAAATCAAAACACCTCCCTCCCTCGAACGAGGCCTTTGCACGACGTTTACAATGTATTTCCCAAGGCAGTCAAAGTTTCAATAATGTATTATCGCATTTAAATATAAGTTGGCACAATAAATGTTTGCGGCTATATCGTTTTATTTTAGAAAAATAGTTTGCTCAATCGCGAAGTAATTAAATTATGTGCAGTATGGAGTGATCTAATAAAAATGATATTATCAAACAAAAATAAATAAACGTTCCCTTATATTATTAATCACACTTGTATTTCCACAGTCTTTACATTATAAAACAATTAAATTGGGTGACTTTGAACGTAAGATACTTTTTTTGCAGAGAATCATAGTATTTGTGTAAAATTATAGAAGTGTGTAGAATGCACTCGCTGCAATAAAAACGTGTTCAAAGAGTATGAAACTACTAAGTTGCGTCAATAATTATCAATGAAATTATAAACTCTACCCGCTTTGTTTAGGACATTGTCACAGTCATGCTATTTTAGCTTCAAGTGCAAGTATTCGACTGTTCTCAAAAAAAGCACCTTACTTTGAACACCTCGCGTATCATCATTCTTATGTCTATATATAATAATTATTCTGTATAATACGTATAATCTATATGTATAGTTATCACATTTTAAATAAAATTAAGCTTAAGGATCGATGTAACTGAACTGTTCGCAAGATATATATTATGAATCAATATGCACGTAACTTTGATGTACCCGATAATAAACAATTTCAAGTAAATTAAATTGAATGACATTTTAACGGATATCTATTAAAAATAAAACACGTATGTTATATGACAATTCGAAACTTTGCGATATTAAAAAAAAAAATGTTGAATTATTCTACTTTTATTTGCTTTCTCGGACAAAAGCATTTGCTTATTTCTATTCGAATTACTTATTCACGCTGTAGCAAAAAAGTGTATTACACAATCTTATTCCTGGTTTTATTTCTTTATACAGCGTTGAAAATAAAATAATATTCTCCAGGATTACATAACTTCTCAAATTTAACATACATTCATGTTATAACTAAATATTATCAACGCAAAGTGTGTATTATGGCTTGTATGGGGTTTATGTATAAGGGAATGGCTATATGCCAAGTATACAATAATAAAATCACATTGATCAATATTTCTAAGCCATTGTAATCGATGCCAGTAAGTATTCCCATAGGTTCCTTATTTCACAGATCGAGTGTCCTTATAATGTTCGATATTAATATCAGAGACATTTCCTACATAGAATCACGATAGTAATTTCTCAACTGAAAGAATAAACTAGTAGTCTCATACAATTAGTCAATAATTTTGAGGTACTGAAACTCATATCTAACGAGACATCTCCAGGAGCGTAATCTATGTTAAGTGCACTGTTTTTATCGTATTATCACATGAATAATAATGGCAATTCTCTCAGGGTAGGTTTCATACTTTCCCATTCACAGAAACATGTTCTAGTTATCGGTTTACTTCTCCAACAGAATTCAGAACTTTATCGTCAACAATTTCATTTTTTTTAGTTAACAAATTCAATTCTTTCGTGGCATCTTAAACGACAGCGTGTCATCTCCGTAACCAACCATCAATATCATTAATGCATTTGAACAAAGGCTTGAAGATGTTTTGGAAGATGTTCTATTCTATGCGTTCTTCTGACTACTCTGGCTGCCAAGCAGGCGAGCGTAGTATACTTTACGGGATTTACCAAATCGTAAAGGCGTTTATTGGATAACAACATTTCGAAGGTTTTACCTTCGTTATTAACGGCATCGATATGAGCACCGGCTTCGAGGAGGGTGTTGGCGAGATCCAGCCGCCAGAGGTTCGACAAGGCAGCAAGATGTAGCGCTGTATTTCCGTCATTGTCTCTCGCCGTGACATCGGCGCCAGCTTTTATAAGAGCTGTCGTCAAATGTGGGAGAGAAATCTTAGAGGTCGAGTATCGGCCCAATAAAGAACCCCCCTCGCCGCTATGAATCAATTGCAATGCATCGCGACCCTAAAAGTAAAACGTAAAGAGGAAATTAATATGCCTTGGAAACTAATATTCCTTCTGGTTGCGCTTGCTCGCGTTAGTAGTAACAGAGACTTACATTTTGGCCTTTGGCATTTATTTGAACTAATTCGTAAATCGCTTTGTGCAGTGTGATATTTTTTTCAGTACCCTCTTTGGGAGCCTCGTTTATCAACAAAGATGCCAGATGTAAGGTGATGACGAGAACTCTGTTCATATACGTCAGATCACGCTCGCTGGTTGGCACCTTGTCCAACATTTGTTTTCCCGATTTTACTTCCATCACCTGAAACGACAAACCCACTTTATACGCTTTTATCAATGGGTGCATTCAGCAGAGGATCCGGGAGAATCAGAGTTGCGCAACTGACGCCCCTGCTAAATGCACCGAATTTAAAAGAAGCGAGAAGTGCGTCTAACTCATGCAAGGATGGACATTTATGAATAAAACTGACTTGCAACAGAAGCTTACAGGGTATAAACGTCGTTAGAGACTAAGAGATAATAAACATTTTTGTAGTTTATAGGATATTCTCCAATGCCCTATTTTTATTTCGTTTTTTCCATTTGCATAATATAACCCATCCTATGGTATTTACTTAGTAACGATACCTATTTAATTTACTTTATGAATTTATTATAAGAAACTTCATTTTATTATTACAGATTTGAAAGAAAATCTGAGTACACAGAGGCGTTAAATTGCTCGTAAGGTTATAAATAGTTTATCTTCCATTCGTGATTTGAAATTGTTATAATTTAAATTTGAAGTTTAAATAAGACATTTATCCTAGATTAACATTTAAACATCTACCAGATGTCTAAATCTATATCTATATCTAGATATCTAGATATCTAGACATTTAACATCCTAACATTGAAATAAGATTAATCCTAGATCGGACTTACAGCTTTCTCGAACACTCGAAGAAGCTCCTCCCTCATAATCGGCGGTACCCTGCGCCCCGTGGTCGTCTGTCTGCTCGTCATAAAATTGAAAAGCTCGGTAAAACTAGTGAGGGAACTCTGAGTCATCGGATCGAGCGGCTCCAGCATTCTCTGTTGTATGTCCAAAGCGTAATTCCAGAGTTCGATGCAACGATCGAATTCTCCGCCGTCCGCGTAAACAGCTCCTCTGTAGCGAATGTAGTAACTGGTGTCAGGATGGGCCGGCCCCAATATTCGTTCCCTGATTATGAGCGCGTGCATTCGCATTTCGTCCGGGTCGGTTAACAATTCATCCAATGCGTCGGGGTCGGTAATCTCGCGTACAAAATTGTAAGCAGCTATCGCCGGTGCCGGCGATTTCAATATTACAGGACAATCATCTCGGTATCTGAAAATCGGGCCATCGATTATTCGCAAATAGCGCGTCAGAAATGGGGAGAAATTAAAACATACCGCGGAACGTCTACGAGACTATAAATATTAGGTTGTCCAGAAAGTTTCTTTCCTTTTATTAATAATTAATACATACACAATGTTTTATGTTTTATGTAACATTACAAAATTGTGTACAATTCATTTCGCTTAAATACTGTTACAGCATCAATGTCTAAGAAATTAGATTGTCTATTTATATAAACACTGCCACAGAAAATAATTGAATGCAACTCACGAAAGAAACCTTTAGGACAACCTAATATTTATTGAATTACACAGGTTCCATTTTGTTCCACAACCTTTCCACCTTATAAGGGATGCGCCCATGTTAATTGTTTTCAACCATTCCAATGTAAACAGACGCGTACCACCTATCAAAAATCGGCACGGACTTTCCAGGCAACCCAATATTTCAAGTATTTTTACAAATAAGAATTCCGATCAGTATTTCGATTAATCGACGTTCAACGGACCATATCGAAACGCACCTTTCATCCATCGCTCGTTTCCAAAGTTCAAGCGCAGTGATCATGTCTCTCTTTTTATCCACGTATGTGGCGCCCAAAAGCTCCAGTGCGTCTATGCGCTCCTTCCGGCTTACCAAGTTCGTCATACTAATAAAGTATTCAACGATGAGTTTATGGCCTGCAAGAAAAATACATTCCATGACGATCTCTCTTTGAGCGAGTGCGTTTCCTTTGTCCAGATAACGAAACACTTGGATAAGCATTAATTGTAATCGTCTTAAGGGAACCT